TTGTTTATAAGGGATATAGAGGGAGCAAAAGCTGGGAAAAGTAAGGATGTTTGGGTTTTGTTTTCAGAGATGACAGCTGTTTTGAATGAGCGTCTAAGATCGGATGCTTCAGAGCTTCCAAGCCAATTAAAGAGCGTAATGCCGTTTGGCTTCTTTTCATATGGTGTTCCATCGTCCATCTTTGTCCGTTGTTGTCTTCCTTCAGCTTACCTGTCCAACACACCTTTCCCCCTTTCCAGCACATCGTCCATCCTCCACCCTGTCTCACCATCCACTCATACTCACCACCAACTCAAACATATTCAACAGTCGCCCTCAAGACATTCCCCTCCGCCTGATAAAACTTGATTCTCACCGTCTTCCCACTCTTCGCCTTTGCCTCGAATTCGCTCGCCTGCGCCCACAGCGCCTTATACTTGGCATCCTTCTCATCATAATACTTGGGATGCAACTTCGTCAGGGGAGCATCGTCAGCAGTATCGACCTGAATGTCGCACCATCGCTTGTAGTTGTGCACGCCGACCGCCACGGCAAAGTAGTCGCCGCCCTTGCTGGTCTGGAAGCGCAACATGCCCGAGGACCCGGAATTGTTCATGGAGAGGACGTATACGCCCGTGGAGTCGATTTGCGACCAACGGGTGCCATGGCCGAACCAGCAGGTTTGTTCGACGAGCTGGAGAGAGTCGGAGGTGTCGTTGATGAGGCGGAGGTGGATGGTGTAGGACATTTTGGTGGTTGGGTTAGGTTGAGTTGAGTTGTTGGTTGGGTAACTGGATGGGGATGGGGATGGAGTGTCAGCTGGATGGGATGGGAGCAGTAGGAGGAGGAAAAGAGAGGAAGAGAGAGGAAGGTAGATTGGAGATGGGAGGCTGGAGAAGGTTGAGGCTAACCTTGAGTGCTTTGAAAGAAGTTATTCAGGAGTCTGTCTGGTTTGAGTTGATGAGATCTGATGATGTTTTTCTTTCGACCTTTGGGAAGGAGGAGCAAAGATGCTTTTATACTTGATGACCCAGAGTCGGACTTCACTTCAGCTTCTTTTCCCCATTGGCTCTTCTTACCTCAATGCCTTCTAGTCGTCGACATCGTCCATCTCTGTCTCAATTTAGAGTTTCCATTACATATTCGCAAGCCTGCAGCTTCCTTCTGGCGTCGACATGTTTCGGGTTGTGGAGATGATGGAACGTGTCACCAGACAATTCCCCCCTCTCCCCCTCAGAGTGACTTGACTGGCTTGATTCGACTGGTTGTCCGATCTGCACGGTAAGGGCGGTGTCGAAAGCATACATGTAGCCTGACTGGTAGCTCTACTTTCTCTGTTGATTTGCAAGTTGTTCGACAGCCACTTCTCACTCGTTGGAAGGGAGGTAGGTCAGTGACGAGGGCTTGATGCTAGTGCTGAAGACAGTAAGTACACTCTGGATTTTCGACGTCTTTAATACCTATCCCGAGTTCTTACAGAGTACAGATCTTATTCGGTTTACAACTGAGGCGATGATATTATTGGTTGGGCATCGCGGGCTATGCGGTGGGTGTCAAACACCCTCATTTTACCCATCCCGGACCACTTCTGAGAAACTAACAATAGGCTGGAAGTAAACAACAGGGGTAGTAGGTAGGTAGGTAGGTGCAACATCCCACAACTTCCACAGCGTGAAAAACCACCTCAGTTACAGACTTGCAGTTACCACTCAGACTTGGACTTGGATTTTATCGGTGAGATGGGTGATCAAGGAATATCCTACTTGCCTCACCCGGGCCGGTGACCAAGCGTTATTGACTACATGCAAGTCAGCTAGGCAGTTAGAGTGATCCCGCGTACATTCAAGCATAAGACACGCCTTACCCATGGCGAGATTTCTGTTTAACTCGTCATGTCTTGCTTCTAAGCGCCTCAACAAAAGCACTGTACAGTTCCCTCTCCCTCTTCTCTTCATTTAGGAGGCTGTCCTGAGTTCCGCCCGTTAGCTGGCTGCCTTTTTCCTCTTCAATGTCGTAACTAGGTGGCTATATGCTCAACCTACTCAGCGCCTTACTAAGAGAGAGAGACTCCCTTCTTACTTACTTACCTCTACCATTCGGAAGTCGTTCCGACCTAACCACGGCGCTCATTCAAGTAACACAAAACCCCACGGAGCCCCAGACATACAGACAAAGAAAGCCTCAATCGCATATTATACAAGGAAGCCCTCAGGTTGTGTGTACCTAGCCAGCTAGTGTAGAGGTAAGTGTCACACAACCCCTTCTTTACACGCATTCATCGGGTGCCCTGTGTCTCGGTCAAAGCATCTCGCAAGCCACTTAGGAGGGACAGAGGGGGACAAGTCCCGAGAAAAAGAAAAGTTCAAGGGTCCATACCGAACCGAAGCCCAACGGCACATCAAAACTGCGGGGTATATAGTTTCACAAAAGAGGGTACACAGCGACAAGGCCGCAGATCTTGTCTTACTTGACTTCCCGTAGATGGCGACGCCATCTTCTCGTGTGCGAGCTGAGAAGCGGGAGATGTACGTAAGTGAAAAGGGTCTGTCTGGCTGGAGACAAGGAGTAAATAAAGTGTGATGAAGATTGGAAACGAGATGCAGAGAATCCAGGGATGCAGGCATGCAAAGATCGGATTAGGACACGGACTTGCCGGTGTGTGTAAGTGATCAAGTTGGAAGAGGGGAAACTATTTGACAGGGCCTCAGTTGGGTAAGAAATGGAAAGAGAATTTGATACTTTTGACTGATCATTCTTGGTGCTGAGTTGACAAAGTCATATTAACACCGGATGGATGTTGTTGTGATGCCAAAGAATCACGAAAATAGAGTTCCATACTGTTGTGAACTGTCGAGAGGTGAGTTGGGTTCGTTGAGGAAGGAAAAAAAAAGAAATAAAAAGAAAAAGAAAAAAAAGGCGAACAGGCTGAACAAAAGTTGAACAGTCATTTGACACAAAGGAGAAAAAAAAGAAGAGGCAAGCCGAAAAGGGGCAAAAAAAGCAAAAGGAAATGCCCACAGCCAGAATCGAACTGACGACCTCATCATTACTAGTGATGCGCTCTACCACTGAGCCATGCGGGCTTTGTGATTTGTTGTTGAAATGAACTAGCGCAGGTGGCATCATATGCAGCAAATACCATGACCAGCCTGCCTTCCAACCAGCTATGTACACTACTGGCTTTCCATCTGTAAATGCACTCCTTTCTTCTGTAGAGGGTCCCGAGCAAGCGTGTCTTGATCTTTTCAAATCCTGGTTCAAATGACTATAGTACTGCCTTAGCATTTGCCAGTTTCCATCCTGTAACTCAAACTTGTGGCACCATTCAATGCCTCCTCGTCTCTTCACCTTCCTAGCCACCGCCAACCACACATTTCCACATCACGGCCAGTCGGAAGAGCCAAACGTCTTATATCATCCATCGTGTGGGTACCTCCCATCCGTCCACCACGTTGACTAGGTAAACTAACTCAAAAGAACGCCGTCTCACAAATGACTCCCAATTTCCCCCACCGTAAATGTAAAAAAGTCATAAACTCATTCAAACGAAAATCCTCCATCGCTCGATCAACCGGTTGTAAGTCGTTTCGTTACTTCCTGTCACCAACATGTGGGGTATGAGGCGCACTCTTTCCCTCAGTAACGAAGTCAAGCTTCTGATCAATCTTCTGCGCGGCGCCAGCAGCCTTGTCGGGATTGCCCATCATCGTGGCGTAGATGCCGCCCAGGGTGAGGCCAGCAACGCCGGCGTAGCTGTTTTCGAGGGGTGACAAGTTGGTTAGCATTTTAGCGCAGTGAGTTTGATGAGGGAAGGGTGTGCCTGAGCAGAGCAAAGCAGATTGTTGGAGTGAATGGAAGGAAGGGAAAACGTACAGCCATGGCTTGTTGGTGTTACCGGTCTTGTTGAAGTCCTTGACGGGACCCTTGTCGCGAGCGCTATCGGTAGACTCGGTGCTCCGGAAACGGACCTGTTGAGCGCGCTGGGGGCGGGCACGGACGACGGGGCGGAGAGCGGTGCGGATGGCGGGAGTAGATCGGACCATTTTGGATGGGTTGAGTGCTAGAATCTGTATTTTGGATGGCGTTTCTTGTAGTTCGAAGTTGGGTTTGTTTGCTCTCGATGGCTTTAATCGACAGTCTCCAGGTGCAGTTGTTCTTGATTGTCGAATTCGTTGCAAATTGCAGCAGTGGTGATGGCTGTTATATAATAAGGTTGACCACAAGGGTTCTCGGGGTGTACTATGTAAGTGAACGCGGCATCGGTATGACATCACCATTTCTGCGACTGTGACGCGAGCTCACACTGTTCGTGCCTTAACTGCAGTGCACTCGTTGGAGAAGGAACATCGAATGACGAACATGCGGAGAAGCAATTCAACTGCCCCTTTCTCGATCGATCTTGGAATAATATCAGATCAAAAACTTTCCTCCCCTTGCTGGTTCGTATAGTGTAAACCTTCTCACTCATGACGACAGGATATGGAGACACAAGAACCGACTGCATGCCAAGATCGAACAGCAACTTCGCACGCGCGCGCGCAAAATGGATGTCAGTATTCAAGCCAGCGCCGAATCACAATTACTGATTTGCACTTGCGCACAGGATCATTATTGCAACGGCCGGAATAGCATCACGTCAAGAAGCCATGTTGCGCACTTGGAATAACTTGCCATTATAGGAACTTCTTTTGAAGTTCGCTACCAACCAACTGGCAGCTTTGGCTGCCCGGCTAGCTCAATCGGTAGAGCGTGAGACTCTTAATCTCAAGGTTGTGGGTTCGATCCCCACGTCGGGCTCAATTCCCGGCGTTACAAACGCGCCTTCTCTTTTTGAAAACTTTTTGATTTTAACTTACTCAAAATCCTGTGCTTGAATACTAGTTTTCTTTTTCTCTGTTGCGTCGCTTTGCCTCCAGCGCTGTTGTCGTCATGGCAATTTAACTCCTTCAGGTGCAACGTCTCTTGACTCGAACAGAAATCACACAAACTCTCAGATTGCGTTACACTTCAACAATGTCAATGGCTAACCCGCCGTAATCCTTTGGTTTGTATTCAAGCCTAACCGGTGTACTAACATTGGTAGTTCTCCCGCTTCCATCCCAGATTCAACCGCCTTACACAGTTCCGGCTGCGGCGCAGCCTGCCTTAGCAAGGATATTATCCTGACCGGGCGCATTCTGCGTAAAGCGCGAGTTGAAGCCGATGACACTACGGACATTTTCGAACGTCAAAGGCGAGATCCTGAGCGTCTGCGTCGACACGAGCCACATGACGCCCTCACTGCAGGGAGGGGTGGTGAGGGACCCGATGTAACTGTTGGAGTTGGGAACAGGTTAGTGATGAGCGAGCCGGAAAAAGGGTCGGTGGAGAGATGGAGAGAACGGTGGATGGAGAGGAAGAAAACCAGACACGTACCCCTGGAAGTGACCCGACTTCCAGATGTTGACCACCTCGGAGAGGATCAAGGGGGGAGTCTGGGTCACGGTGCCGGGCGTGCGGATGGCGTCGACGGTGCTGAAGATGGTCTCGAGAAGAACAGTAGGCGCATCGGAGACCGGGGAGTCTGGACGCACAGGGCGCACTGGGGCCGTCTCGTTGGTAGAAGGAGGCATAATGACTTCTTGCTCCCTATGGCTTCTGCTTCCCCTGATGCGGAACCTGGCTGGTGGCGCATCTGGGGCGGTCTTGTTGGTGTGAGGAGGAACAGGAATGCCGCTGGGAGCCGGAGGAGCAGGAGGAGCCGGAGCAGCGACGGGAGGGATGATACGTGCGGAACCAGCTTCGGTGGCGACGTCAATGTAGGTGCCGATGACAGCAAGTTCCTGGTTCTCGGTTTGCCAGACCATGTGCATTTCCACTTTTACGAAAGTGTTAGTGATTGCTGACATCAAAGAGTGGATTTTCAGAAATACTCACTGGCTCTACTTGTACCATTGTCCAGGTGCTCGCTAGGCAAGTGGAAATGGAACTGCTGCAGGGTGTACTGCTTCTCACCGAAAGTCATCGAGCCGCCCTTCGCAATGACCTCGATGGTGGTTCCGAGGTTCTCGAACTCGGTGCCCTCAGTGAAATCGGGGATGTCGATCTGGATTTCAGACGAGGGTACCATATTGAATGATGTTCCCGTCATATCGATAGGCGACTGTCGTCTTCCCGTGGAGCAGGCCGTGTTCTCGGGCGCCAACGATGACCAGAACAGCGGACCGGTGACGCCAATGTATCCAAACTTTTTGACTTCGACTGCCTTGCCCTCCTCTCGCGGGTGGAGGAAAGTGTTGTGCGAGCAGAGCGACCAGACGGGCGTCACAGACGCGGCCGCCGCCAGCATGAATGATCTGAATAGCCTGGCCATAATTTCGACGGGAGGAAAGATGTGATTAGGGATGGAAACAGAGAAGTTAAGTTTCTCGCGGGATACCGAGTATATAGGTATATATGTGATGGAGATGAATATGCAGACTACGTGGGGCTAGGTGGGAGTAAAGCAAAGCTCGAGCCAACGGCAGAACAACCGGACAGGACAAGAACAACGAATTATGGGGTATCTGTCAGTGGTTCCAGACCTACTGACAATATGACTAGCAAAAAAAGTAAAGGCAAACGGGTATTATATACAAGAAGAAATGAAGTAGGCAATGGAAGCCACGATATCGTAGAGCTAGGATGAAGTAAACAAGAAAACATGGCACCACGAGGTGGGTGCTTGAGGCCTAGATATCCTCGCGCCGAGCCGAGAGATCCGATACACCGATGCGCCTCGCTACCAATGTCAGTTGAAGTCTTCCATGACTTACATGATGCTAACCAATGTACGTCCAACCGACAAGAAGCCATGAAGGGCACGGAAGCATCCAGTCAAAAGTCCGAGCATCGTGACAACAAGCCCCTTTGTTTCGACGAGGAGGTTGGATTGGTCGGTTGGTCCGTCTGGGGAAGCTGGGGAAGCTGGGCAAGCCAAACCAGATGCAGGTACAAAGATGCAACAGTGTTGAGCTGGTTGTAAAAAAAGTACTCAATGGGCACTTCAAGCCAAGTCAGGGAGTTGACTTGTCTTGTCAACTCGCATAGGTATCGCATGCTCCTTGTTTTCGTCGCATACCCATCCGGCTCGTTGAGTGTGCGTTTTGGCGCGGTAACTGGAGCGAAGATGTACGCGCAGAAGATTTTTACAAATCAACAACTGAAGGTAAGCAAAATCAATGTTACGAGGTAGCTTGACGTGGCTGATGTCCTACGCTGGACACTTTCCGGATGGGGAATCGTTTGGCCGTGTTTGACCCCAGCTTGGGGTGCATCGCAAGGGATGTCTGTCGCCTTGGTGGAGTTGAGCTTGTGTTCTTTGAGCTTCGGTACGTAGTCCAGGGTCTCTGCGAACGTTAGAGGCCATCAGGAGTCTAGACTCTGTACCGGGGGTTGTGGTGGGATTGTCTCGGTAGTCGCCGTCACGGGCAGCCAGGGGCAGTCTTCCGATTACTTCATCAAGCCAAGCAGATGCAATGAGGGGAGTTGTGCGACAGCCAAGAGAGCGCCTGCCGTCCTGGCAGTCCAGTGATCATGATGCTTGGCGTTCTTGGGTGTTTGGGGTTTCGTTCAGGTCGTCTCTTTCCGTTCCTTCCCGGAGGCGCAGCTTCATTTCGAAGTGTTGAATTAACGAGCCTGCAGAGAAAAGTCACTAATGATGATAAGGAAGGAGGTGCATAGGTCGAGTAGATGTACTTGATGACAAAACAACAGAAAGTTTATCAAAGGATTGCCGGGTAACTTCCATAAACTCAGCCTTACAGCGAGCGCATCTCCAGACCAAAATGTTCGAGACACAAAACAAGCATTTAAGCTTATTCCAAGATCGAGCAAATGGGGCACACCGATACCTACCTTATCCACGAAGATCTTCATGAGGAAACTGACTTCTTCTTCTTGTTGGGCTGTCTTGGCAGGGGTGAACCTTGAAGTCTCAGGTGAATTTTCCGATTGGATCTCACGACGCTCGCCTAGAATATAGGTTGACGGTCCAGAACATGAGCTGATGTCTGAAACGCACGTCGTAGCGAAAGAGACCTTGATGATAATAAGCGCTTTCAGTACCCACGTCCTGTGGTTGTTGGTATACTTTCATGTTCGTGCACCTCGTTTCTGCGACGTTGAAGTCATTGCAACTCCTAGGGCTGGCTCTTGGCCGATATAGAAATCCTTGAGAGAGCACGTGGGTGGCTTGGTTGGCTATAGCAACGAGGGGAGTAGAAAGATTGATGAAACTGAACACCTGGGACGAAAGAACTTGAGGAGATTATGTAAGATCCACAGCTATATCCTGTGTCTAGCTGTGAGGATAGTGGTTCTTGATAGGTGAGACGATTTGCGGGATGCTAGGTATTTGTCAGTTGGCATTCAAGATCAAATCCCAATCCCAAAGATCGAACAGAACAGGGTTAAGACAAGGACTTCTGAAGAGATAGATGGCACTTGGAAAATGTAGACTCAAGTGTGCCATTCTAGTCCAACTGATATGCAACTTGCATAGATGTGCAACATTGGCCGAATCGGGTTGGGCGCCATGATGCTGTACACTCGCACTCGCGATTCCGTGATCAAAGCCAAGATTGCACCACCGCTCAACCACGAGGGCGGGAACATTTCACAACCACCATTCTCCACTGATATAATGGTGGCAACGCGGGGTGAAAGCACGCTTATCATTGAGCCACTGCTCCTGAACATGTACGAGAGAGCCACCATGCAACATTGCACTCAGCTTCCCCTCTCCTTTTGTCCCTATTCAGGAAACCAACCATGATATAGTCTCCTGTAATAGGCCAGATGCCACTCACGTCAGACACCATGGCTCTTTCACCATGGAGTTCGTATATCAACGGCTGCCGACTTGCCGCTACTCGGTACTGAAACAATCGCCGACGTGGGGAGTGATGCGATAGCATCACCTAACAACACCATGGCGATACCTCTAGACCTTGCACGGAACTTTCGGCGGCTGCTTGAACATGTAGACTTTCGGCATAAAAGGAGCTCCTTGCTACCACTCAGTCATCCAGTCCGATATCCACTGAGCAATCCGAGCCTTTGGTTTTTGAAAAGATACCCTTTGGCAATATCCCTTTTCGCAATCTTCACCATGTCTCCTTCAGCAGTTGAGTCCGTCCAGCAGACGGTTGACGAGATCAAGACCAAGGTCCTCCCTATTCAGCAAAAGTCCGCCGCCATCGAGACCGATAGTCTTGAGGCGGAGAGTCTTCCCAAGAGATTCGAGGATCATAAGGAGCCCCTTGAGCTCAGTGGTGCTCTCGAACAATTCGAGAACTTTGAGGTCACCCCTGTTATCGGTCGCGAGTATGTCAACGTCGATCTCGTGGAGTGGCTGCGCGCCCCCAACTCTGACGAGCTCCTGAGGGATCTTGCCATTACCAGTAAGCCATGAACTTGTGCCGAATTCGCCGACTTGATGCTAACATGCAACCCAATTGAAGTCTCCCAACGCGGTGTTGTCTTCTTCCGCAAGCAGGACAAGCTCACCGACGACCTCCAGAAGGAACTCGTCGACAGACTAGGCAAGCTCGCCGGCAAGCCCGCGACTTCGGGCCTTCACATCCACCCCATCAGCAACGCCAGCCGCGAGCATGGTGTCCAAGACAACGAAATCAGCGTCATCTCCTCCGCGCAAGCCAAGTCGCTGTACAAGGACAAGTACTTGTTCAAGGGTTTCGGTGTCAATAGCGGCCGCCAGAGCGCCAAGGACCAATGGCACTCGGATATCACCTTTGAGCCCATTCCCAGCGACTATGCCCTCCTGAGGCTGGTGCAGCTCCCCAAGACCGGTGGCGACACCCTCTGGGCCTCGGGATACGAGCTCTACGACCGCATCTCGCCCACTCTGCGCTCCTTCCTTGATACCCTCACCGCCTACTATGCCCAGCCCCTGTTCAACGAGGCTGCCAAGCGCAACAACTTTAGCATATACAGCGGCGAGCGCGGCGCTCCCGAGAACGTGGGCGAGATCCTTGAGGCCATCCACCCCGTCATTCGCACCAATCCCGTCACCGGCTGGAGGTCAGTTTATGCAGTCGGCCACCACTGCCAGCGCATCCACGGCCTGACCGACGAGGAGAGCAAGCATTTCCTTAACTGGTTCGTCCAGCTCATCGTCCAGAACCATGACCTGCAGGTGCGCCTCAAGTGGCAGAACCCCAACGATGTTGCCATCTGGGATAACAGGAGCGTGTACCACGCTGCCACGCCCGACTATGTCTTTGAGGAGGGTCTCGGTGAGCGCAAGGGCAACAGGGCGGTCAGCCTGGGGGAAAGGCCGTACTTTGATCCTCAGAGCACCAGCAGGAGGGAGGCGCTCAGTGTCAAGTCGCGACTTGGGCTGTGAAAAGGTCGAGCATGTCACTGTCCTTTCATTTTCGGTTCTGTGTAGTTCATAGCATTTGATGATGTTGCGATATCCCGATATAAATCGTACTTGGCAACCAATGTTGGTCATTCCAGTAATCGTAGATTTTATCCGTGTCGTGATGCAGTCAGTGGCGTTGAGCTCTGAATGGTAGTCTGGACTTAGTCAGTTGGTGGGTACCAAGAAGCCAGAATGAAGAAAACATGATTTCGATGGTGAAAAGAGAAAGGAAAAAAAACCAAGATCCGACGGCTGAAAAATATTTCGGAAGAAACAGTCCCTTTGCATTGCCATTGGATGGAAAGGAAGCTGCAAGCAAGCACGGCAGCCATCCAAGGTTGTTCCGTTAACGGAGCACAAACAAAGATCGGACGGGTTCCTGAATCATGACGTAATGCGACAAGATCGTCGATTGCCCAGAACATTTCAACCTCCAACCGGGCATTTATTCCATGTCTTAAATCGGGCACCACCCACCCACCCAGCCGGTACACTACCTCTACTGTTCCAGCCCCTCCTCACCTCAGTTGGCTGCCCAATCTTCGTCGATAGCAGAAACACCAGAGTTTACCCGACATAATATCACCAAAACTCGTCCACAGGCGAAACACCAACCTATGATATAGCATGGCGTCGTCGGATATTCTGGTCTCTTTCATGGGGGCTATTCAAGCTGCCATATCCGTTCTGATAACCATATGGATCGGTGTCCTTGCGGCCCAGTTCGACCTCATCGACGATGGTGCTGCCAAACGCCTGTCGTCTATGTGTGTCACCATCTTCTTGCCGTTGTTGCTGGTCGCGAACCTGGGAAAGCAGCTCGATTCTGATACTGCTATGCACTATCTCCCCATTGTTGGTATATGATATCACACCGATTCTGTAACTGACGCAAAGACCCCCCCGACGCTAACGAATACTACACCAGTCTGGTCCCTGATTTTCGTTGTCTTGTCGATCGTGGTGGGCAAGCTATCCGTCCGCATCTTCAAGCTTCCAGCATGGACCACCCCCGCCCTAGCATTCAACAACTCGACCTCACTGCCGCTTCTCCTCATCCAAGCACTCGATGCCGCCGGAGTCCTCAAGAACTTGACCTCCGACCCCAACGTAGTCGAAAAGGCCCGCTCCTATTTTCTCGTTTGCGCCGTCATCAGCAACACTCTAACCTTTGGCTACGGCCCGGTACTCCTCGATCAAGACGACGGCGGGCAGACCGACAGCGACCCGGAATCCGGACGGGATTCAGGCGAAGAAGACGAGGAGGATCACAACGGGTCTGGAAGCAACAGCGACGATAGCTCTGGTCCCTCCGAGACGACATCGCTCCTCCCCAAGAAAGCCGTACGCTTCGCCAAGACCACGGCCCGGCAAATTGAGAATGCGCAGAACAAGACCTACAATGCTTTGCCCAAGCCTCTCCAAAAGGCCGTAAGCTGGATTGCGCCCTTCTTTAACCCTCCAGCCCTGGGAGCATCGACTGGTGTTGTCATCGGCTTGGTTCCTGCTCTACACCGTATGTTCTTCAACGACTCGCAGGAGGGCGGATACTTCAAGGCTTGGCTTACTACGCCCATCAAAAATACCGGCGAGCTGTTTGTTACACTGCAGGTTATCATTGTGGGCGTCAAGCTCAGTCTCAGCTTGCGCAAAATGAAGGAAGGAGATGAGGGAGGACGTGTGCCGTGGCCTAGCATTGTGTTTATTCTTGCTTGGAGATTCTTGGTGATGCCGGCTCTGAGTATCCCCATCATTTGGGTGTTGGCCAAGAAGACGGGTCTCTTGTTTGATGACCCGGTGCTGTGGTTCACCATGATGATGATGCCTATTGGCCCGCCTGCTATGAGGTTGGTGGCGCTTGCCGATGTCAACAACCTGCCTCAACAAGCTAAGATGGCGACGGCTAAGCTTCTTACGGTGAGTTCCTTGTCTCTATCAAAAAAGGCAACAAGAAAAAATGCAGTTACTGACTCAAGCCTAATAGATTTCTTACGTTGCTACTCCGGTGATTGCCTTCTCTGTCGTTGGTGCGCTCAGAGCAGCCCAGAATGTTGCAGATGCGTAGTAGACGTACAGGATATTGGTATCAAACCATACTTGAAGGGGGGTATAGACTCCATCATACATAAAGCGAAGATAGTACTAAAACGTTCTTAGACGCATTAGACAATGTAAAGCTGTCCGTTAGCAATTGCCCCGAAAGCAAGCTTTGCACGACCGTACAGAATGAGGACTGAGATTGCTTCGCTGATGCTGCTCATGTTCCTTGGGCCCTTCACAAATTTCTCCCAAGAGATCGTGAAAAGACGTTATCAGCTTTACTAATCATTCATCATATGCTATAAGTAAAAGGTATATCCAAAATGCTATACAAAAAACAAAGAAACTTCAATCAATCAAGTCGCTCGCTGGATTAAATGGAGTGTCCTCAAACCTTTACCGCCTTGCGATCCTCCTTGATCAGATCCGCCGCCCGCTCAGCAACCGAGTAAACAACCGACTGGATGTTACCCGCCGGCTCAATAGGGAAGATGGAAGCATCGACGACTCTAAGCCCCTTGGCACCGTACACCTGGAGACGCTCGTTCACGACACCGCCCTGCTCGCGGGGGCGCATGGAGCACGATCCCGAAACGTGGAAGACGGAAATCTGTCTCTGGCGAACAATTTCCTTGGCCGTCTCGAGATCATCGCCCTTGAGCTGCGGCAGGCGACGACCGGTCTGGTTCAGAAGCTTGCCGAGCGCCGACTCGGGGGCGACCAGGTGCTCGACGAATTGCACACCGCGCGCAAGCAGCTCCATGTCGAGGTCGTCGTGGTTGTACTTGGGGTCCCACACGGGCGCCGCCTTGGGGTCGGAGGACTGGATGTGCACGGACCCGCGCGAGAAGGGTGAGTTCAGGATGGTCATGACGGTCAAAAAGTTCTCGGGCTCGACGGGAATCAGGTGCGTCGCCATGTTGTGGGGCTTGTCGGCGATGTGCACCTGCGTCGGGAACAGGATGTACTGGAAAGTGGGCTCGTTGGGGTTGGTGACGATGTCGCGGATCGCGGCGCGGGCAGGGTTGGAGAAGTCACGACCAGCAAAGAGTTTCTTGACACCCTCGTCCGAGATGACGCCCGTCTTGTTGACAAGGGGCGTGTAGGCGACGGAGATGGTCAGCTGGCCCATGGGGCCGGAGCGGTCGGCTGTGTACATGTCAAGCAGAGCCTTGAGCACGGCAGGGTCGCGCAGGACGTCGCCGGAGGGAGTGCCTTCTTTGACCTCGAAGGACTGGCACACGATCGGGTGGTCTTGCATGCCCTCACCGACGGCGGGGTTCTCGACGACAACGGGGATGTTGTGCTGGGCGAGGATCTCCTTGTTACCGACGCCGGAAAGCTCGAGGATCTGAGGGGACTGGAGGGCGCCAGCGGAGAGGATGACCTCGAGGTTGGCGGATACTTGGCTGATAATGCCGTTGACGTTGATCTCGACGCCGGTGGCGACAGGCTCAGGGCCGGTGGTATCAAAAAGGACCTTGTTGACGTGGGTGTTGGTCAAAATCTTGAGGTTCTCGCGGGCGCGGACCTCGGGAGTGAGATACGTAACAGCAGAGAAGGAGCGCGTCTTGGTGGCCGGGTCGATGGAGCTGGCGTTCTGGAAGGCGCCCAGCGCCTGGCCGTCGCGCGCGTCCTTCTTGGAGAGCAGGTCGAGCGACTCAAAGGTGTCGAACCAGCCCTTGTTAGTAACGCCGTAACCCTCGCCGAAGGAGACCTGGACGGGGCCGTCGCCGTAGGCTACCGTGTCGTTGTTGTACGTGATGGAGCAGATGTCCTTGGTGCTGGCCGAGGGCACGTCCACCGTGGCGAACTTTTTGAGGTAAGGCTTGAGAGCCTCGAAGTTCCAGCTGGGGTTGCCGACGGCGGCCCAGGCGTCGATGGAGGCCCTAGAGGGATACACCAGCATCATGAAATTGAGGGCGGAGGAACCGCCGAGCATCTTACCGCGGGCTTGGTTGATGATGCGGTTGTTAAGAGTGGACTACATTACTGATAAGTCCCTGGATTTCCCTCGATTCGATGCTTGCTGCCACGAAGAAAAACCTACCTGAGGAACAGACTGGAAGTTCCAGTCGTACTCATCCTTGCCGTAGACGCCGGCGACGAGGCCGGGTGTGAGAACCAAGGGATCGGTGGTTCTGTCATCACCGGCCTCGAGTAGGAGGACACGGACATCCTTGTCCTCGGTAAGACGGTTAGCGAGAACGCAACCAGCCGTACCACCACCGACGATGATGTAGTCGTAGGACTCCTCGAGTCCGGCTAGTGGAACAGCAACAGAGCCCATGGTGATGAGGTGAGTTATATTGAAACAGCTAATTGCATATGAAAAGAGTGTCTTAAGAAGGTTGTAAGAAGGAAAAGGGTTGAAGCTCAAATAGCAAGGGGGAAGAATGAGGAAGGGGGGACAGGAGAGGGGGTAGGAGCAGCAGGCTTGGCGTCAGGAGGTGGAAGGCGTACGGTTTGGACAACACATTACCCGTTTTCTCGGGGCCGGGGCAGGAACCTTATAAGGTAGGATCACCACCCCCGTCCCCCCCCCACGCAGTCCTCCGGGGCTCCGGAAATCACGGAGTGGAAACCGTACAACTTGAGCCTGACAAAGGTGCCTCCTAATCGCCGTCTAACTTTGCACGAGAGCACATGCACAAAGTGACAACCAGCAAGTGCGACGCGAATTCAGCGCTGAGACCGGGACACACATCGTGCGGCATCGTGGTAACGTTTGATAGAGATCGGGGCTTTGACATACCCCGAGAGGATCTTGAGAGAATCCACACAACAGACCCCGTTCCTTGTGTTGGCGGTCCCTCACGATGGATCTATGTACTCATGATAGTCACTTCAAAAGGCTCCGCAGGTTTGGTGCCAGAGCAGACCACACTTGGCCGTAATGTGGGAGAAAGCCCGGTTTATCGGGAGCAGTAATCGCCTCCTCGACTTGTTGCCCACCAGCCCATCCGGGCCACCGGTAAAACCTGGTGGAGAAAAGTAGTATTTCCCATACATGATCATGCAAAAAGAGCGGGGATGGCAAGGCTGGTACAAACAGCAACTGAAGCCCAAGAGTTTGGAGGGAAGAGAGAAGGGGGAAGGGGAATTGGGGCCGCAACTCCACCGTTGAATATTTACGAGTCGGTAGACCATGTTCATCAGTCGAACTTGCGTCTTCTTGGCTGTTCAGGATCGCAAGCATATATACGTATGCTATGGAGCAAGTGTGGTGTGTTGGGGTTATTTTGTAGTGGCTTCGATCAAGGGGATATGATGGGTTCGCTTGTAAAGGCATACAGTACAGTTAAAACCCCTGCTTTTGCAACCCCCCCTTTTGCAAAAAGCTGATGAAAGGTTTGGTTTCGTTGGCGTGATTCGTTTAGTGTACTGCTTCCAGTTTCCAGTTGGTACGTATGGGTCAGGTAGGATTCTCTCGGTAAGTCAATACTTTGAGTGGTGGCGGGGTGCTTGAGATAGTAGGGGAAGTGGGGCGGCGAGAATGGTCGTCGTGCGAAAGTTTGAAAGGAAGTGTTGGTTCTTCTCCCGTTCTCCGAAATGTAGCCTCCAAGGCCAATCAATTCCCCCAGAGGTATTTCGTTTCGCGCTAACAGACTTTCCATTACTACACTAGTGTAGTGTAACCGTATTCGTCAGGGGCTCAGGGGTTGACATAACAAGCGAGGAACAGGGGAGTTTTGCCCACACTCTAGAAGAGGGCCAGTCAGCCAATGGAAGCCCGAGTTTTGATAGACGAGTGGGACCAATAATGTGACATGTATGGACGTTGGAGTCGACATGGGTCGGAACGAACAACCCGCATCCAGCGCTTTGTCAATAGTGGGGAATCCAAGCATCCAGTAACCAATTATGTTGCTCGGGAAAGTTTCCACACTATCGCCGATTCTTCAACGGCACATGTTCTTTTTGGTGTTGCCTGGGTGTCTTCCGCTGAGACATTCGAACCCTGATAAACACCCAGAAAGAAAATCGAAGGAACAAAATGAACTCAACATGACGCGAATCGTCGATTTATTTTCCACTGGGGAATCAGACCTCCAGGCAAGCTGCAACGTAGCAGCCAGAGGGTTATGGTACTCGACATACGTCCAACATGCTTGTAGTCGCTCTTCCCCGAACTGGGGGGACTTGTCGGTTTCGGCTTATGCATCTGCATCCTCGCTCCTTTGGTGACCGGTGGCTGTGAGTGGCCAGAATCCCTAATGGCCCACCCTTTGTTATTATGCTCTGAAGCAAAACTGCTTGCTGGGTCTTGTGGGAAAATGGGAAAGCAACTCGTGCCGTTCAAGTTTGGGGCCCGCTTTGTCGTCTGCACCGACCAAAACAACTGCACAATTGTTGGTCGCACATGGCAGGCAGCAAGCGAGCCTTGCTACCGGCATACATACTTCTACCGCGCATAAAGAATACCTACCATCTGGGCTACATACACAAGAATAAGCCCGGGCGGTAGATGACTGCGGCAGTACGAATACAGTCAGCCGTGCCGTGCCGTGCCGTGCCGTATGCCGCACCGCCACCATCAGCAATTCGAGTTAAATCAAACCTCATCGGACCCCCCTCCGCTTCGACCACCTTGATGCAATCTCTCACCAAAACATAAATGACGGACCAAGGGCACAGCATCGCTGAGCTTACGGGACAAAGGACTGGGCCCCCCACCTACCTTAGCACCCGACCGGCAAATAAACGTAGACTGGACGGGAGGTCTTCAACAGCAAATTGACAAAGACTATCTAGGAATTTGAGAGACTCCGTGAAGCAAGAAGGAGAAATGACTATCTAGGCAAAGAAAGACAGAAACCGTCTTGATGACTTTGGACTTGCTAGAGCTTGGAAGGTGAGTGAGTCCGGAGGGGAGTCCGGAGGGGAGTGGAAAACCACACAATGGCTCCATAGGCCCACAAGCCTCCATCCCAGTGGCCAAAGTGCCTGCTACCTTTGATGGATACATGGGTCATACAAATTATAAGTTATCCACTTATCGTCCTCCGGCCGCTACACTACGCTGGGAGCGACCTGGCCTCGTGCAACTTTAGCTCTTCTATCATTGGGCTGGAAGCCCTCACTTCCCGCCAGGCAGGCAGAAGCACTTGTGCACTTTTAGCTCATTTTCGGTGTGTTTAGGTACATTTCTTACCATGGGCGGGCACAGCGGACAGATTGGGACTGGGACGCCTCGCTCGTTGCCTTGGTTGCCTTTTTTACTGGATGCCCCGATTCCCATGAGCCCAGGTCAGCATTTCGGTGAAGACCGTGATTATACCGGGAAGAGGTCACATTGAGAGCCTTGGCTACTTGCCGACTTTGCAATCAGGGTCTCATGGACCGTTGCCCAGCTTCTTCCTGTGTCAGTGTCAAATTGTCAAGTTCCCACCCACCGACAGGAGGCCCAGGCGGCATGTGCCAGGTTGGCGGAAACGAGTGGGCTTTGCAGATGCAACAGAAGGCGGGCAAGACCCAGAAGGAAGAAAAAAAGAAAAGAAATGTCCTGATGGTCTGGTCCCCGGGTCTGGTCCCCGAGCGGCACTTGACGCCTGACGGAGCCATGACCTACATTAGTTGTCGATTGCAACCTCGTCCAGGGCAGTCTGATTCTGGAGTCCAGGAGCATCAGGAGGCAACTTTAACGAACAGACGGGGTACACCATAGTAGACGGGGGATAAGCGCAGATGTTCAACCTTCCCGTCGACGTGAGGTCATCTTCGCTAAGGTTTCGATTCTCTGGCTAGAGCAGTGATCTTCACTCGCCAAGAATTGATCACTACAGCATACTTTCAGACCTTCTTTCGGGGAACGTTCCTTTGCTCCTTCCTAGGCTCCAATCCTACATACACTGAACCCTCGTCAACCTCAGCTCCCTCGTCACTGCACATTCTATGTCTAGGTAGGCACTCGCTAGGCACCACTCTCCCACAAAAAGCAAAGACAATATCCCCAAGGGGAAGGAGACACTAACATGGGACCGATCGCGACAAGGCTCTCCAGAGAAAGAAGCAAGCTGTGAGCTCAGGCGTTTTCAAAAACTGGCCTTCCCGCCCGTTCTCATCCCAACCTTTGCACGCACAGTCCACACACTCTCAACGAAGACAACCAGTCCCGGTAGCCACCCGGACCCGAGTCTCTGGAACAGCACAGATCGACCTGGCCCGAGCCGTAATTTACACCGAGAAACAACAACGTCCTCCCATGGTGGTCGTACAACACTATCTACGGCATCAACATCCCAGGCTCACCAACAACACAACGATCTGTTGACTTGACGGCATCCTACATCTGTCACTCACACACACACTCGTTTACGTCTCACAGAACTCCCCCACTCCACTTTTCCACTTGGAGTCGGAGCACCTACCCAAGGCAACCATAGGAAAGAGACATATCACGGGAACAAAAGAAGAGGAAAGAGCAAGTGAAAGAGGAAACCAGAAGGAAGGAACGAAGGCCACGCACACAAGACCCACGAGGTCGAACCCGTTCAAAAAAAAAGCAACGAAGACGGGAAGGAAATCTCCAACGAAAGCAACGACGACGATAAACAACACCACACATCATGGAGGCCCCTAACCCCGCGGAGATGACGCACCTGTTCGGCACAAAATACTTTGAGCCCAAGGGCATAGTCAAGACGCACTTGATTATCAACGTCTGTTTGGTGACCTTGACACTAGGAGTCATTGGATTGCGCATGTTTGCTCGATTCCTGTCTGGAGCCAAGCTGTGGTGGGACGACTGGCTCATTCTTGCTGCCGTGCCTCAAGGTAAAGTTTCCCACTTTGTGCTTTACAATGACAAGACCTAACAAGTGGCATCGCAGGTATTGGAATGCTTATCATCCAGGGCTGTTGTAAGTTCACTGCTTCCTGCTTTACAGTGACAATAGGTATCTAACATATTGGCATCACAGGGATTGGAATGGGTGTCGGCTATCCCTTTACGGAAACCTACATGAACCTGGTCCCTATCCTCAAGCTGCTGGTCTCGTACGAACTCATCTTTGCCACATGCATCAGCACCGTCAAGCTGTCCGTCATGTTCTTCTACTTGCGCGTCTTCGTCAACGATGGCCTGCGCACTGCTACCAAGATTGCCATGACCTTTGTCCTACTCTGGAGCACAGGCAACATTCTCCAGGTCTTCTTGATCTGCCGCCCCTTTAGGGCTGCCTACGACCCCATGTCAGCTCCGGACGCCGTGTGCGGTAGTCAAAAGGCATCCTTCATTGCCATTGGTGCCTTCAATGTCGTCACCGACGTGGCTATTTTGACGCTGCCTTTGCCTACCGTCTGGGGTTTGAAGATGAGCTGGACTGCCAGAGCCGGTCTGACGGGTGTTTTCTTGATCGGTTTGCTGTAAGTTTACCCTTTACTTGTAGCTATCTGTTTTTTGCCTTCTGATACTAACCAAAACATACAGCACTTCCGTCGTCGCCATCATCCGTATCGTCACCCTCGTTGGCCTCGATATGAATAACCTCACTGGCACCATGATCTATGCCGATTTCTGGTCTACCGTTGAGCCTAATCTGGCTATTCTCTGCGTTAGCATGCCCATGTTGGGCTCTCTTTGGGCCCGCTGCACCACCCGTCGAGGAACCACCAAGCTGGGTCCCTCGAATTCAGACGGCACGGCTAATTTTGGCGGCACCAAGAATTCTGGCTTTAACAGGCTCAAGAATAACAGCCACTTGGCCGAGGAGGACAACATTGGCCTTGAGAACCTGTACGCCTCCAACAAGGATGTCCACCACCAGTCCGCTGTTGCGGCTTCGGGAGAGAAGGAACATCGCGGTCATCACAACAGGCTGGGGAACCTCAGCAGGGATGACGGGTCGGAGGTTGAGCTGACCGCCGAGCCGGGGTCTTTCAAGGATCCTGGCGTTATTACGGTTCAGACGAAGTGGACCATTTCCGTTGACCAGAATCACTAGTGTCGTCATTCTCCTTTTCTTTTCTTTTTTTTTTTTTTTTTTTTTTTTTTTTCTTTTTTTCCGGTTTTTTTTTTCCGTGCTTTTCTGTTTCTCTTTCTCAGTTCTCAAAAGTCCTTGCTCTGTCCATCTCTTCTTCCGCGGACATGGACACGGGCGTTGCCTTCAGTGCTTGCCACAAAAGGCACACATAAGCTTCATTTGCTACGGCGGTTTTCTTTTCAGCCATCTTCTGCGGGCAACTTCCCCTTCAAGTTAGCGGTGTGAATTTCTAGACCCAAATTTTCTTTCCATCTGTTTTATTTGCGCGATACCATGGGCAACGAATATGAGGAAGGCAACGAAACGCCTTTGATCCTCATAAATCTGACATAGAAGAACGTTTTACAATGCAAATCCATACACACACACAAACACACGCACATGATGACCAAAATAACGCAGTGAACTTTAGTTTGTCTCACAGGTGCGGTTACAGTAGTAACAGTGGCTTGTTGAACCCTTGCCGAACCGTTGTCAACCTGAAAGTGGTGTAATTTTCGGTTCGTCAATCTCTGTCTTACTTGAACTCCATACGTCCGTGCACTGTGGGAACTTTCGGGATTCATTCAACGTCTCTCCAAAGCTCGGTGCTAAACTCGTTGACGCGAGCGAGGAACTGAAAAAGAAATGAGATTTTGGGTCGTCCCCGAAGACCATTGGGGCACTTGGGCGGCGACTACGTCTAGACGATCCCGATTACACAGATCTAGCACAGTTCAAAGCCCTAGACTCGGACTTTTTTTCACGACACTCAGGAATGCTCCAGCGACGGGTTACACCAAATGGGAAGTGGGAAGGAAAGAATAGTCCGTAGTTCTTGTTCTTGACGATCGCAATCCCCCTAGGTAGCGTTACACGGAGATGCATCTCAAATTCCTCAGCCCGTATAACGTAGCAGGCCCTTCCCTGTTCCGTGCCCCGTGCCGGAGTGAAATCCGCTCCTCAATGGGACCCTGAACTGAGGAAAGACGGACTGCAAAATTCGAGACAGTGGCGCGCGGTAACGGCCCGCGCGTACGCCACCAAGCATGTGAAAACTAGGGTGTCGGTCACGTATAAACGACCAACTACCTACCGAAGTTTCAATTGTACTACCGTGAAATTCACCTATAGTAGAGATAGCAGTATTCCTCACACATACTATGGCCTTATAAGTTCCGTGTAGCGATAGTGAAATGTGTGGACTTCAACTCCTCTTGTTAGCGAGCGAAACGTCAATACACGATCCTGACAGACACGAAGCATCGGGCATCCAATGGGAACTTGTTGCCGTTTGTGCCAGGAGTCAGCAGGAGCCAAAAAGACAAATAAGCCAATAGGATGCTTATTTCTAGCAATGAAGTAAAAGTGGATCTCTAAACGTAATATGTAACCGACACCGTGGATTCCTGAACGGGGATGCCCGGTCAGGTCTGGCCAGTCAGTCAGCCAGCCAGCCAGATACCTCCCCTCAGGTCGTCGGGCACGGTTGGGGACGAAGAGGCGCGGCAGGGCCAGCAAGTACCAGGCACCGCTGTAACCCACTGCAATGCGCACTCCAATAGCTGTAAAGGGTTCTGTCACCGGATGGATACCGTCACTTCCCGAGACGGGGGGGGGGGGGGGG